TGATGGTGAGTTACCGAACACATATGTTTGCCAACTGACTCCTTAATAGTAATATGAGAATTTTCGCAGAAATGAGACAGTCCAAGTATAAATTTCAGATTTTGGGTCACCCAGATAAACTGATCGACTCCTCTGGTAAATGTATGAAGACCAATTGGCTTAAGGCCGGTATAGAATTGTTTAAAGGACTGCGGACCATATTTTCTGATCGTTTCGGTGTGAATTGGCGCAGCATACCAACGGCGACTGGTAGCGATGCCCTGACAATTATACAAGAGGGTTGCTGTGACCGGCTGTATTCACCTGGCGTCTCGAATTCACCGTCTGCTACAGATAAGGCTAATGGACGTAAAGATGTTTTGGTATAACAAGATTGCAGTTGTCGCCTCCATCACATGTGCATTTTCAAACGGTATTCTCCATGCAAAATACTCGCAATCATAAGTAGTTCAGGAAGGAATGCCGTCTTGTTTTGGGAGACGCAGATTTGGTATTGAATTTGATCGAAATTCTACATTAAACGAAGATTAGTTCGCCTCTCATTTTCTCATAGACCTCCAAGTTCGGAACATTCAGTCAGACGAAATCATGGTCTCCTTCGATGTGACGTCGTTATTCACATCCATTCCACCATACTTGGCCCCCCAAGTCTTGCGCAAGAGACTTCAAGGGATGAACGATGAGACTCAGAATGCACTCAACATTAGACGAAGGGTCCATCGTAATGACGTGGGACTCAGTGTCATTAATGTTTTTTCAGATGTGTTCCCTATTTGCTGCCCGCTGATGCACCGCCATTATGCTTAGGGATCTGGACAACTAAGGGAGTGTAGTCTCTGGTGCAAAATATTTGGGGGTTTGTGTATGTTGGCGAGTTAACCCCCTGTGACGGGGGATCGTTAGGTGCCGAATGCAAGCGGACACAATTATGGTCTCCTTTATTGTACTCCAGTTTGTCCCACCGATGGCAAAATTCCTGGCCGCACGCTTGCGGAAAGAATGTAAATAATTGGTGGACTCTTCCAATAGTTGTAAGGCCGCACTTCAGAGTAGGCGAAGAAATTTACGCACAGATCAATGACATCCTAGTAAACGGTAATAGTTGCAATGCGTATGCTGGAACTGACTCTCTGTAATCAATATGCACCCGACATTCATTAAAGTTACTTCAAATACTTCCTTTTTTACGAAGAAAGTGACTTTCTAAAATTCGAAAACGACTGACCCACTGAATCATCGCCCACCAACATAAGAATAAGCCTTGGCATTTCCATCCGCCTAATTTCTTAGCGAAGCCGAGCAAGGCCAGTGGTTACTATGGTTTCCTAATGCTCTAGTCAGAGGAGTCACGTGAGTCTAAATATTAAGATCTCAAGAAATTTTCAGCACTTAAAAATTTCATGCTACAGCAGTACTCAGATGCAGATTTTGTAAATTGAATTCCCGCGCTGATGTGTGATCCGGCAAGCCGTTTCAGGCATTTACATTGCAGTTGGAAATTGGCGAGTTCCAGGAAACCGTTCAGAAGGAGAGGATGCGATCACTGGAACAAGAGGTTTATTCGCCTGATGTTTCGGATTCTCGCCGCAACCGTCTCTAATGATGGGCTCAAGAGAGAATATGAAACGTCAGTCCAATAAACTCCTTGTTTCAGCCATCATCATCATCATAGCCATCATCATCATCATCGTCGTCGTCATCATCATCATCATCTTCTTCTTCTTGTCCACCATATCAGCATCTTATTTTTCTACTAACAATCAAGCGGTTGGTGTTACACTAAAAGTATCCTTATTAGCGACTGTATCGCTGTAATAAATCATTGATGTCAATCTCACGTAAGCGTCAAGTGATTTTATTCAACTTCTTATTCCACAAATGAAGATTTGTCGCACATCCCGAGACTCCTAATTGCAATGGTAGAGGGGCGCTCATCGATCGTTCTTACGGAACTCACTCGTTTCGTTGTGCATTACAGGCTCTCTCTCGATCACAGCCAGTCTCCCTTGCCTTTTTCGGTAATAACATTCTTCTCCTAATTGCCCTTAAGACATATTCGAAAGTAACAACTTCCAAATGCCTGCCTTGGATATCATCCCCAATGCATGCGCGGACTTTACGAACGTTTTTTTCATGCCATCATCAATCATTCCTCGCATAACCCATGAGACGTATGTTAAAGGTAACTTAAAGACTAGGCTATAACGGCGTGCTGTCACTCACAAGTAGCGTCACAGGAAAGGATGTAAGTGCAGCTTATTCGTCAATGCACCGAGAACTAAGGCGCAGTTGGTGTCCCCAGGTGCCACTGTCATTTAGCCACCAATGAGATTGCTGCCGACATGAGTGACACGGCGAGTTATTGGAAACATTAGAGACGAAGTATGCTCAGTCGCTGCAACAAAGATCCTATTCCCTTGATATATCGCATCCTCACCAATCGGCATGACTTCGTCTCTCAGATTGCGGCTTATTCGATGGGACCGAAATGCTCGCGAGGAGTGAAAAGCTCGTGAACCGCGAGCCGCGGGGGTCGTGATTCTTCGGCCTCTAGCCCATTAACAAGTTCACTTACCTAAACGTCCATCCATATTTTCTGCTGATATGGCATGGCAGGAATAATTTGCCACGTAGGTGAGCACTGGTCGTTATGCCGCTGTCAGCGGGTCGAAATCACCCAGTAATTGTCACGTCAATAACCAGGATTGCGGAGGTAATTGCCGTAATTAACAAAGAGGGTGCAGGCGCACGATAAGTCATCGCAAGGGATAATATCGTCGGCCAAAATTACTTTAGCTGATAGTTGTGATTGTGGTTGCATGCAAACTGCCTACTATTAATTACTTCTCCACCGCCAATATCTCGTGCTCTCTTCGAATGTGGTTTATGAATTTGAATGCGAGAAGACAAGTGAGTAAAATTAAACTGTGTATGAAATTCTCGTTCCGACGATCGCGCCTCCATCTTCTGAGTTGTCTTCGCGCATTCAAAGATGCCGCACTTGTTATATATGGCACGGTAAATAAGATCTTTATAATACCTATGTAGCCCACTAAGGATACAACAGGCCAGACGCAGACAGCTGTTTAATGGTTGTTACCTATTGTGAGTACATCATATACTTTATTAAGTGAGGTAAATAAGCATGCCAAATAGGCGTGCGGCCCCCACTGTTGTGGTGAGGGTCTCGTTCGATCCCACCCAGCTTGCTGCTGACGACAACGAGCGTTGTGCCATTGGACATATGCATCAACAGCAATGGTCACACCTTTACTTGATTTAGTAAGATATGTGACGCACTGTTGATCGACAAGAGCCGTGAAATAGACGTCTACGTCTGGCCTGCTGAACTCTTAGTGAGTTGGTCACGCATAATATATGCCGCTCCACAGGAGCAGATGAATGAATAAATACACATGGATGTGGCCTGTAATGGCAGCCAGTCTTTGACGCCCAACGGTAGCAGGGGGGAAGTTAGCGAAGAATACGCGGAGGTTCGCTGCGTGGAAGGCACTCGCCAGAGTTTTGCTAAGGCGACGTCTCACTAATTCGCTTGCTGCGTCTCCTAGAAAAGGCAGTCTTTGAAATAAGTCTTTCTTTTCTGCATTTGCAACGGCAGGTTTTGTGGCACGCTGTCTGATATTCCAGAGGATGAATCGCTCTGGATGGCCATTTTCGCGGAGCGTGTTTTGCAGCTGCTGGAGTTCTCATTCAACAGTTTCAGGAGAGCAGATGCGTCGCATTCTAGCCGCCCGCAGCCTCCATCAACCATTCTTCGTCTGAAGATGAAACAGTACTATCACTAATCCAGAAAATACTGATAATTTCTCGCGGTCAGAGCGAAATTCTGCGAAATGATCGTAATCAGAGATGTTCGAGTAAAGCAATTTTACCTCCAAAATATAAAATTGACATTTGTGTGTGTGTGTGTGTGTGTTGTACCAACTCCATGACCTCGTTGGGAAGTACTCCTGAAAACCTAACACGCCCACACCCGACGGATGGACTAACCAGGACCAAATAAGCGAGACTACAGAAACAGATCTTCCTCGGCTACTAACTACTGAGTCGCCAAATACACCGGAGCAGGTCTCTTAGGTCTATGACCGCATCATTTTAGCAGTCTCTGGTCTGTTTTTTGTTCATTCAGAAGGATCCCTCTTTGGTCGTCGAATCTACTCTATGAAATACTAGAATTCCTACAGTATGGCCTGATTACCTTTGAATGATTTACGGCCAGCAAGAAACTCGCCAGGATAGCTTGCTGAAAAAAACGCTCTCGGTGGCTGAAAGATTCCTCCCTAGGTCATACACATCTCCATGATCGATGAAAAAACTGGAGTTACATTGACGAAGATGCCTACAGGAAATGCAGAAGCGGAGAAGATGCAGTTGAATGCGTTCTCGTGGAATACATCCACCTACAATTTCCCGATGTGATCTGCAATTTACGAGAGGTCACCGTCCTCGAAGGACGTCTGACCTTATGCATAATTCTGCCTGATAATTAGTCGATTCAGAGGAGATTAACTAAATTATTTCGCACATCCCCGGTTCAGCAATTTTGCCATCTTGGCAGAAAATTTCTACTGTATATACATAGTATATGCAGCTGCAATAATGACAGTTATTCATTCTGTAATGAAGCGATAGATGATTTCGATTCCCGATGCATTTTGCTAGAACTGACGTTATATTGACGTTCATATTTGTGAGTGGGATCTATTATGGTATTTAATAGTTCTCCACTGATGCGTTTACTTAACCCGGGTCACCATTAGTAGGCCTGCGAATCATGAACCGTATAAGCTCAATGTAATATGCCAGGTCCTTGTATTGCGAGGCCATCCAAATTGAAATACTTTCATCATCATCATCATCATCATCGTCATCAGAATCTTCTTCTTCTAAAAATCAAGCCGTTCGTGTTACACTTAAAGGGTGCGATCGGTAAAAATCTGCTCCTGCAGTGTGTAACTGATCAAGCCCGCGAACAGAGAATGATACGCGGCGCAGCACTGGAGAACAAATTCCGAAAGCTGCCCAATCTAACGTCGTCCAGTAACGACAAACTGGTTCACAACCTGTCGTCAAAGGAGCTGACGAAGGATCATATGCAGGTTTTACGTCACAAAGCTTCATTTAACACGGCTGACGCCAAACCTGTTAACATGATTGCAGCAGTGGAATCAATCCTTTGTCAGACGGAGGCAACTGAGGAGACTAAGAGACTCATCCGACACCCAGTGTCGTCCCTCCTGATGGCCCGCAGGCCGCGGGAAGTGCTTTCTAAGGTCGAACGTGATGCGCTTAGAGACCTCAATGTCGAAAAAGACGTGGTCATCGTGCCAGCGGTCAAAGGGCGCGCCACGGTTGCAGTGGACAGGACAGATTACCTTCAAAAAGCCAAATGTTTACTGGAGGACCGACAGTTCTATGTCCCATGTGCAACGAACCCTTTAAGAGTTCTGACACGCGTAATTAATGCTATGTTGTTGGCCTTGGAGAAGTCAGGTGCAATAACACCGACCGACAGGCGCATGGCGAGACCCCAAGATACGGTTTTGGCCCGATTCTATGGTCTCCCTAAGGTGCACAAAGACGGCGCTCCTCTCCGGCCCATCGTGTCGCTCAAGGGGACTCCAACGTACGGACTGGCTAAGTGGATGTTCCGGCGCGTCAATTTCCTAACCGCTGAGTCAGACACCACGGTCTCTTCGTCAGCACAATTCCTGGAGAAACTCAAAGGGGAAAGCCTCCATCCAAATAAGGTCGTGGTATCTTTTGATGTTACATCCCTTTTTAATTCTATTCCCCAGTGCCTGGCGATCAAGACAATCGAGCTGCTACTACAAAGCAAATACGATGAAACGGAGAATCTTCTTGGACACGCTCAAATCCTTCAGCTCCTGAGCTCTGTCTCAGGACGTACCTCACGTTCGACGGGACAATCTACGAACAGGTGAAGGGCACATTAGTGGGTTCGCCGATGTCGGGATTCATCGACGAGGCAGTCCTGCAACGGTTAGAATCGCTGGTCTTCCAGCACCACAGACCGAAATTCTGGACCCGGTATGTGGATGATACCTTCGTCGTCATCGAAATGGATCAGGTGATGACATTCAAAGAACATTTCAACGCCGTCTTCCCGGACATTTAATTTACAATGGAGGAGGAAGAGAACAACCAGCTGGCCTTCCTGGATGTTCTCGTATGCCGCAAAGATTGTGGTGGACTAAAGATCAAAGTGTTCAGGAAAGCGACAAATACGATGCAAGTACTGAACTTCAACAGCAACCACTCAATCAGCCACAAACGCAGTTGTGTAAGGACGCTCTATCGGCGTGTCGAAACGCACTGCAGTGAGCCGGAAGACAAGATTGCTGAACTACAATACTTCCGACGGGTATTCAAAGCCAATGGCTACCCGCGCAACTTTGTCAACCGGTGCATACGCAAAACGGACGAAGGGCTTAACCGCACGGACAACAAATCTTGGCGGACGTTTCCGTATGTCAAGAACGTTTCGGAAGCTCTCGGCCGCCTTCTCGCACCACTTGGGGTTGGAGTTGCACACAGACCGGAGGCAACCATCAGGCGTCAGGTAATGAAACCGAAAGACCCACTGCCATGGCAGGAAACTTCTGGAGTCGTTTATCGGATCTGGTGCAGTTGCGGACAAAGCAACTACGTCGGAGAACCCGGAAGACAGCTCCGAAGGAGAATGACCGAACACGCTGCAGCGATGCGGAGAAATGACGCCAGCTCTCAAGATGCGGCTCATTCGACGAGATCCGGCCACACATTCTACGTTGATGAGGCCGAAATTCTTGCAAGAGGTGACAACCACGTGAGCCGGGAGCTACATGAACCATGGTTTACTGGCCCCCAGTCAATTAACAAGTGAAATGGACTTCCCCTTCCATACTCGGTGCTGAGACTTCCCCTAGGCGGAGTAATTAGCTACGCGGGGAGAGCACATGTGAACACTTGTCCCAACACCAGGATCGGTGCGTCAGATGGTCGAGCAATCATCACACCAACAACCAACGCACGTGACGAAACTGCAGCAATTACCGACACGAATGTCGGCCATCAAACGGTCATCACACCACGTGCAACGATCCTGGATGAAGGGGGGAGCTGTGAATGTTCATATGTATGCGGTAGCATGGCGACTGCATCCTATAAATACTGCAGCCCCTTTTGCGTGAATAACCCGTATCTGCTGTTGTCTCTGATGATGGATTCGAGAAGGAATCCGAAACGTCAGCCTAATAAAACTCTTGTCCCAGCGGTAGTGTCTTCTTCTTCTTCAAAACTAATAGTATCCTTATTACCGACTGTATCGCTGTAACAAAAACATTGGTGACCGTCTCACGGAAGCGTCAAGTGATTTTATTCAACTTCTTATGGCACAAATGAAGATTTGTCGCACTTTCCGAGACTCCTAATTGCAATGGTAGAGGGGCGCTCATCGATCGTTCTAACGGACCCGTCTACACCGTCAAGTACGATGGGACCGAAATTCTCGCAAGGAGTGTAAAGCTCGTGAACCGCGAGCCGCGGGGATCGTGATTCTTCGGCCTCTAGCCCATTAACAAGTTCACTTACCTAAACGTCCATCCATATTTTCTGCTGAGATGGCATGGCAGGAATAATTTGCCACGCAGGTGAGCACTGGTCGTTATGCCGCTGTCAGCGGGCCGAAATCGCCCAGTAATTGTCACGTCAATAACCAGGATTGCGGAGGTAATTGTCGTAATTAACAAAGAGGGTGCGGGCTCGCGATAAGTCATCGCAAGGTATAATATCGTCGGCGAAAATTACGATAGCTGATAATTGTGATTGTGGTTGCATGCAAACTGCCTACTATTAATTATTTATCCACCGCCAATATCTCGTGCTCTCTTCGAATGTGGTTTATGGATTGGAATGCGAGAGGACAAATGAGTAAAATTAAATTTTGTATGAAATCCGCGCTCCGACGATCGCGCCACCATCTTCTGAGTTGTCTTCGCGCATTCACAGATCCCGCAGTTGTTATATTTGGCAACAGCTGTACCCCGCAACGCGTTGCTGTGGCTCTGTCTGATGAACTGTAAAAGAAATAAAAGAGGAAGGGGACACGTTTCTTATATGCTTAAGTGCATAGTAATTGTGGGTATAAGTTGTTGTTTGTCGTTGCGTTGTCTGCGCAGACACAAATATTGTCTGGTATACCAACTCGGGAGCACTCAACGTGTAATTAGCTATGTGAAAAGCAATCCGTTTGCAGATCCAAAACCGCACAAATCAGAGAATTGGCCCTGAGCTTTGCTGATCGTGAATGCAAACGCCAGTCGAATCCGGAAATGCAGTATCCTAAATCGAAGTGGCATGTCAGTTGGATTCAGTGGAATGCGAGGAATAAGGATATGTTCACCTTTAGAAGGCCTAGTCAAGAAATTGGCTCCCAGTACGTTGTTCACTAATGGTAATCCTGCAGGCCGCGTGCCGTTGGTAAGCGTCGGCCGGCTGATTTCTCGCAGCATGATAACCGGCACGCCGATTTTCAATTGCAGTACTCGCGCCGTCGTCCCTGGCAGATCAAGCGAATTCAAAATTCCTGTGTGACATTTAACTGCCTCATCTGCTTCCACAACAGTGTCGACGGACGTGCATGTGGCTGCCTCGCTTGGAATTGTAGACTGAATAGCATGGTTGATATGTTACACATCTTTATTCTTAGCAGCAAAATAGCTCGTTCGCTCAGCCAATTGTGACTCCTATAATTGGTTTGGATATTGGAAAATATATTTTCAACCAAGTCTTCTTTTAACGACACTAAATTGCCAATGGTAATAGGCAGTGAAAGGCCTCCTGAAGTCGGATCAACCGGCACCGATCCGTTTCCAATTGCCAGTAATTGGTGTGAAAATGTCTCAGCTGTCCAGTCGTTTTGCAGCTGGACACGCATATCCGTAGCTGATTTTAACGTTTGGAGGTGGCGTCACAATGTAGAGTATTTCAGGCAGGCATTTATTTGGTCGGCTGGTGTCGATCGAGAAACTGCAGACAGTGTTTGCCCGAGTCTCCTGCAAACAGTAGAAATGCATCTCCAAATGGTCTGCTGTTTCCATGCAAATCCTTCAATGATCGCTCGAGGGCCTCGAGCATTTTTGTGTGCCATTGTGCATTCATCCCAAACAATGAGTTTGCAGTTCTGCAGTAGTTTTCCCATACCGGATGTCTTGGAAATGTCGCACGTAGGAGTTCCAATGAGTTGCCCGTTCAACAGCAATTGTAAAGTTGAATGAGCAGTTATTCCACCGGGTAGCAAGGTCGCAGCTATTCCGGACGACGCAAGAGTTGAGGCTATGCCAATTTTGGATCGAAGTGCTGTCAGAATCAGTCGAAGTAGGAACGCTTTTGCCAGTCACTTTCTGGCGTATCCAAAAAGATTCCTCCAACCCGGCTATTGGCAGTCCGCATTATTTGATCGTAAATACCATCCTGCCCCAGTGTAAGCTAAGGAATGCTTGATTGCAGTTACGACAGAAGATCAACCCTGTTGTAGGTTTGCTTACGCCGCAAATCCATGTCTAACGAAGTAGCCGCAGATCGCTTTTGGTCGTGATTTCTACGCACACATCCTCAATCATTATTAACACCTCGTTGTAGATTTTCTGCTGTGAAATCCACATTTGATTTGTCCTCGCGTATTAGACGGAAGAGGCCTCCAACACGCATTCCCTATGTGATACGTAGGCACTTCCGGATGCAGCAGTGTTTTTGCAAACGCGTCATTTTGGCTTACCGTGAAGAACGCGGTTAAGGTTGTTGCCGGTGGACCTAAGGCAACCTGTTGCACATTTGCAGCTGTAACATAAACGCATTGCTCATTCTCTAACTGTACTGCGCGATTTCATCAAGTTGTATGTCCACACCCCTCCCTCTTCTTTCGTGTTGCAGGCCGAAAACGGCCATGTCGCAGCCTTTATTCACGTACTTACAAATTCACGTACCAAATTCATTTCCCGGAATTGCGGGTTTCCACGTTTATGTGAGCTTCGTTTGTTTTTAAAAGCGAAGGCGAATACCAAACAACACAACGGTTACCGACTTGTACGTCACCGATTCACATTCGTACGGTTGCCAATTTGCCGACGGCTTCCCCTGATCGCTGTCTTCGCCGCGACTTCGTGCAAATCAGTGTCGGCGTCGGTGTCAGGTAATTCAGCGCATATTTCATGGGTGATTTCGCTGGAGGTGATCTTATTGTAGAACCAGATCCAGGCATGTGCGTGGGACAGTCCCCATCTTCTGCCATTCCCCATAATACATCCAGAAGCTCACAGACCCAAACACCTCGTGTTTTATCATGAAGTTCATCAGCGATTGCAGTTTCGGCCTGCTCAAGTGCCTGCAGGGGGGTGGGGTGAGCGCGGCTGTCGGGCGGAGCACGTGCGTTTGAGCGAATGTCGGTCAAGTGGCCACAGTCTGGGCGCACATGTGTCCGCGCGGATGTAGGTCAAGTGGACGCAGCAGGTGGCGTTGTTATGCCGGAAAAAAACCGGTTTTTTACCCATCACAGGCATACCATCGGCATAATTACACAACTGAACAGACAGAAACCCAGCCCTAAGCGCGGGCCGGGCTGTGTCCAAATTTTAGCGCAATCGGTGCAGTACTTTCGGAGATTACCTATAACACAGAAAAAAAACCTTCCATTTTTATATATATAAATAATAAGATTTTTGTTTTACGTATGTAGCCCACTAAGAATGCAACAGGCCAGACGCAGACAGCTGTTTAACGGTTATTACCTATTGTCAGTACATCATATACTTTATTAAGTGAGGTAAATAAACATGTCAAGTAGGCGTGCGGTCCTCACTGTTGTGGTTGGGGTCTCGTTCGATCCCATTCTGTTCTTCTGTCAGCTTGGTGCTGACGACAACGAACGCTGTGTCATCGGACACAT